TAAAAATAAATTTCATAACAAATAACATTATTATTGTTCAAAAGCAATAATTATATATTATTTTTATAACATATTGTTGAAATTTTTATGGAACCAACTCTATGTCACAGTTCTTGATTACACATTTAAGAGACAATATAACTTAATTAAAAAGTTATACCAATAATATTACGAAATAAATATTTAACAGTACCGACATATTATTCACAAGGAAAACAAAATAAAATTATATATCAAAAATTAAGAAAAATATAAATTGATTTTATTTCACCACAGTGAACGTTAAGTATGCAATACTTACCTATGAATTTTTTTGAAATCTTGATTGAAAAATGGTCAATGAATGCTGATCGATTTCAAAAGAAAATGAATGTAGTTGAAGTATAGTTTTACTAAACGATGAATGGGCAGTTCAATTGAGTATCTCATGACCCTTTAAAAGTTTCAACAATTTCTTTGTAATTAACTGTATCCGGTCATAATGCTTTAACTTTAAGTTGCTTCATTCTCGGTGCTCTCTTTTTAGCGAGTCTTCGTTGTTCCTTCTCTTCCCACTTTCTCTGTTTGTCAGGGTCTTCTTCTTGAAGAATACGTTCTTTCTCAGCTCTACGACGTTCTTCTCTTCGCTGTGCAGCTGCCTCAGCTCTAGCAGCATGAGTAGTTTTTAAGAATGCTTCTTCTACTCTCAATCTATTTTTATCAGCTTTAGTTTTACCCTGAAAGTAACAGTACGATTCAATATGCCACATTAAAATTAAACAAATTAATTAAACCAGTATGATTTAAATAAAAGTTACAAACCTCTTTGGATAGTTTGAAACGACGTAATTTATCCAATAGATAAAAAGTTAATTGTAAAAGCATTTTTAATTTTTCTTGTCCTTCTGCGTTAGTAGTACGCCCTTTCATACTTATATTTAATCCAACAAGTAAAACTCTCTTTACTTCAGGCATTGTTAATTGAGTTATATCTCTAAAATTGAAAACATTATAGTATTACAGATTCAATCAAAAGAAATCTGAAAGTTATAAATTACAGTGTAGATTTTATTCTTACTCTTGTTGCTTGGGACCACTAAACTGGTCACTAATGTGTATATAATCAATATATTGAGCATACTTTGTAAATGCTTGTAAAACTCTTGTATCTAAAATAGCTGACGCTGCTTCAGCGATTTCAGACATTACATAAAATCCCAATGGAAGACCAAATTTTTCTCCTGGTCGCTTTTCTGGACAATAAACACTGATATCGGCCATATCACGTACTAAATGCAATGCCGTTCGTTTTGTAGCTACTGCTAATACAAAAGTATCTGTTTCATCTTTCGCTAATTCTATACGTATGAGTGCTTGATCGTTTTGAGGTCGCACAAGTTGTGCCAAAACTGCAACTAGATCTTGTCTTTTTATTAATTTTAATTCTATTAGCATAGAGTCACATCCAACTCTACCAGAGCAATATAAACTATAATGAGATTGACTTTCTTTGACTAAACCATTTTCAGATGCATCTTCACTTGACTTTCCTGTATCGCCAACAAGTGAAAAGTTATCGAGTAAAAGTTGTTTATGCTCCATCAACCACATTTCTGCTACACGAGCATTTTTTGATCGCCCTGCTAGATAGTTAATGAAATACACTAGCAGTCCAATAATCATTAGTATTTCTAGATAAAAACTATCCCATCTTGCTCGTAAATGTAGCGGGATCTTTGTAATTGTTAACGTCGATGGCTCATCACTTTTCGAGCCTGTATTTCCACCAGCAGCATCTACTCCTTCGAACTCTTCTTCATCGAAGAGATCAAATTCACTATCATTATTAACAATTAATACATAATCATCTTCAAAATCTTGATTACTATTTGATTCTTTCACATGTTCTACTGTACGATCATTAATTGACTGAGTTGGTTTTTCCTCTTCGAAGTCTTCAAATTCTGCAAATTCATTATCTTCGGGAAGTTCTTCATGGAAATGTGCTGTAACCCATATATTTGTTGCAACCAGCACAATATGAACTACTACTAACCACAATTTCATTTTGCCTGAAACAGAATAGTAGCAAATGACTAATTTACAATAGTGAAAAGAATAAAATTACAAAATTAGAAGCTGACATATGCTTTTAAAATTTATAATAAATCATTCTGTCCAATACTTTTTCTATTGTTCCCTTTATCAAAAACAATACATACATAGTGAATTATTTAATGTTATATAAAAAACATTTCTGAAGCAAAAGTTATAAAATAAAATACTGAATACTTAAACAAGCTTTATTTTAAGAATTTATCTATAAAGCGCATGTTTTTATTGGTTTATTAGCTTATACTAACAATATGATGAATTTATATAAAATGCTGCCAATTTTTCGACATTGATTTCAGTTATCAATTAAATAAAATAGTCTTTCCAACAAATAATTCTGTTACAACACTCTTTCGAGGAGGTGACTTGCACACTATGAAACTAGCTACAGAACAAACGTCATTTCCTACGTCAAAGGTACATTTGTATAAATAAGAATAATAGTAATTATAATTTATAAGTGAATTCTGTTGTAATATCCTTTAGAATTTCAAAAATATAATATATATCAGTAAAAATTTATACACGACTAAAAATATTATTTTCCAAAGTAGTTAAGTATACAACTTCATTCGGAATAATACATTTCAAATTGAAGCTTACAAACTCTTTAAAATAATTCTGGTTTCAAACATTATGTCTCTACATTAAAAACGCAATAGAGTAGTAAAAGATATATGAAGAATAAGAAGTCATATTTTTTGTAATATTTTTATTTTCAATACACATTTGACTAAAAAATGTTAGTGTAAGTACTTCCTGTCAAAAGTAATTACGCAAACTCGATAAAATCAACTGATTTTAATTTGGTGTATACATTAAAAAATGACAATGCACTGTGAAGTCAATTAGAATATTTTGCATACTTTAATACTGCAATACTTTTAATGAAAATACTCTCAGGAAAATTATTATTTATAGAATACATTCGAATGATGCATCACGTATACGGTTTAATATTATCAAATTTTATTCTTCAGTAAGTTTAATTTCCATGAATGTATTTCTTTATAAATTCAATGAAATCATTGCAACGCATAAAATGCTCGCATGAATTTGCACGAGACGAACAAAAAATTAGTTGCATTTTGTCGATAAAGTAAATTTCGTATTGCAACGTGTCATAAGGGAACATCAGCGTGACTGTCTTGCCTAGAATTATTCCGTGATTAAGCGAGAGATCGATTCAGTATGTCCGTGGAAACGAGTGAGAGGAGTTTAGTGCGCAGGCTTGACCGTAATGGCTTTATTCTGTCAAAATATGATGCGGTCTTTCTTGTATTCTGTCACAATGTGTCGCATGTCCTCTTAGTGACTTGATTAGAAATTGAGTTTCGATTGGCGTAAGGGTCCGCAGTATTCCCCAAAATAATTTTAGTCGAATAAGTGGTTATAAAAAAAGCGGGTGTCGACAGTGTAAAATCTAGGGAACAAACAATGGATCAATACCGTGCGGAGGAGGGTAATATGTGGATACAAAGAAAAATCGTTGTTCGTTTATTGTAACCCTTCTCGCACTGTGCGTGCTTATCGCGTTCGTTATCTTTAAAAGGTAAGTACACTATCAAAAAGAGTGTCGCCCTAATGTTTAGAGTCTGTGGCACGGTAGCATTTGGTTAAGGTTTCCGCGTTGAATTTTTGTTCCTTTTCGCGTGAAAATTGACAGAGCTTGCAATTAAAAATGCTTGAAATAAGAAGAAAATAAATGGCAAAATCTGTTACAAAAAATGTTACTATATCTTTAGAAAATTCTCTATATCGAGTTTTTAAAAACTCGAAGGCCAAATGATGAATACGTACACTCCCAATTATTTCATAATTTCCTTTCAAAAGTGAAAGACTATTAACATAGATATAGTATTACACGCGTTCGAAATCACTATTGCTTAATACAACAAATTATCCAATTAATTTATCTTTTTACATTATTAACGGCAGGAGATGTCACACAATTTTTTTTTATTAAAGGTAAATTTATTTATTTACAAATACAAATAATCATTTAAGTTATTCTTTCAAAGAAGTAATTAATTCAAACGCAATTACGTTTATATCGTTGTTTTAACGGAATTCGATTATTGATTTACTCGAACCAACCGTGCCTGTCAAGTCTTATCTGCTGAGCCTTTTTTATTGTACAGGTAAATGAAATCGATCGTCAACATGGACAAGTCAGAGAATCAACTGAAAACCTGGAAAAGGAAAAACATAAAGTCGAATGCGACGTCTGAGGTAATGACCCAATGCGTCCAGGTTGTTGTAAGATGTCGACCCATGGACGAGAAGGAAATAGCTCGCGGTTACACGCGCGTGGTGGACGTGTTCCCATCTAGAGGGGTGGTCGAGGTTCGTCATCCGCGGGATGACCCGACCAGCGATAATGTGAAAGTTTTCACGTTTGACTCGGTTTACGATTGGAATTCCAGTCAACAAGACCTCTACGAGGAAACGGTCAGACCGTTAGTATCCTCAGTCCTGGATGGCTTCAACGGTACTATATTCGCGTACGGACAAACGGGCACTGGGAAAACTTACACTATGGAAGGCCTCAAAGGCGACTACGACAGGCGGGGTGTAATCCCGCGGTCCTTCGAGCACATTTTTAATCACATAGGCAGATCCGAGAACATGCAGTACTTGGTACGAGCGAGTTACTTGGAGATTTATCAGGAGGAGATACGAGATCTTTTGCAATCCGATCAAAGCCTTCGGTTCGAGCTGAAAGAGAAACCGGATACCGGTGTATTCGTGAAAGACCTGTCCACGTCGGTGTGCAAAAGTGCAGCGGAGATACAGCAGTTGATGAATACAGGGAACCAAAACAGAACTATAGGCGCGACTAATATGAACGAGCACAGTTCCCGGTCGCACGCAATATTCTTGATCACCATTGAAATGGGATCCATCGACGATACAGGAGGAATTAGGGTGGGTCGTTTGAATTTGGTCGATCTCGCCGGCAGCGAGAGGCAGAGTAAAACTGGCGCATCCGGCGAACGGCTGAAAGAAGCAAGTAAAATTAACTTAAGCTTGTCGGCATTGGGAAATGTGATTTCCGCTTTAGTGGATGGGAAAACCACGCACGTGCCGTACAGAGATTCGAAGCTGACCCGACTGTTGCAAGATTCTTTGGGTGGAAATTCGAAGACCATCATGGTTGCGAATATTGGTCCTGCCAGTTATAATTACGATGAGACTTTGACCACACTGCGATACGCGAATCGCGCAAAGAACATCAAGAACAAGCCGAGAATAAATGAGGATCCGAAGGACGCTCTTTTAAGGCAATATCAAGAAGAGATTGGTCGATTGAAGGAGAAATTGGCACAGAAAGGCATGGTGCAGAGACGAAAGAAAAAGTCGAAGAAGAAGAAAGAAGATGAAGCCGCAGATTCGGAATCCGAAGCGGATGATAGCCGAAGCGAGGATAACAAAATTGAGACGGACAAGAAGCTCATCGCGGAACAATTGAAAGCGGAGAAACAAGAAACGGAGACTCTTATACTGAGAATAAAAGACTTGGAAAGCAAAATGCTCTGCGGTGGTAAGAACATTATAGACCACACGAATGAACAGCAAAGAGCGCTGGAACAGAAGTCGGCTGAGATTGCAGAGAGAAAGAAGCGAGAGGTTGAAATGCAACAGAAGCTTGAAGATGAGGAGCTTACAATGCTGGGCGTGAAGGAAACTTATACGAATCTGCAGCAGGAAGTAGACGTGAAGTCTAGGAAATTAAGGAAATGTTTCACGAAGTTACAAGTATTAAAGCAGGAGTTGGAAGATGTTACCAATGATTTCAATAGGGACAGAAGGGATTTGGAGCAAACTCAACATGAGCTCATGAAAGAATTGAAACTGAAGTATCTTATAATAGAAAATTTCATTCCTGAGGAAGAAAAGAATAAAATCTTGTCAAGAATCCATCTCGATGAAGAGGATGACTGTTGGATAGTAAAGGATCCAGAACCATCCAGTATAGAGACGATAAAGAGACCTACGTCTGTTCCAGGTGCTCGAAGGCCGATTTCTGAATACGCGCGTATTGCTCTAGCCATGGGGAGGGGTTGTCGCTACGCAGGAGAAAACATATTGAATTTAGACCTTGACATGCCTGCTAGAACGACAATGGATTACCAAGGGCCGGTAATTGCACCCACAATTCAAGCCGTCCTCGAAGAAGCGTTACGCGATGAGGGCGATATTGACGTAGATGCATCGAGTGCGAAACTCAGATCCAAACCGCGATTACAGTCTGCAAAAATACGACCTAAGAGTGTTGGAAAGATTCCACAGATTCCGCCGCCTGTTTATCCAAAGACGAGAGGACTCGTGCCGAAATAAAAGAAAATACGTTCTCTTGTATCTGTAAAGTGAAATGTATATATTGTGCAAACTATATTTTGGGTTGCATTCTACTAATTTATATAGACCGTTGTGATGGTACTGTGTGTATCGATAAGCGCAAAATAGTTGAAGTCTTTATAATTCTCTAGTCAATGTGCACTGTGCAGCCACGAGGTATTATTGCATTAATAAAGAACACGAAATAAATGATAACGTTAAGACTAAACACTTGGTTACTTTTTAAGCAATTATAGCGGGCAGTATCGATATCCGTGATTTGGAGTAATTGCTTCGATGGTTTGACCTGCTACTGCGAACATAAAGCTTACATACTTAAAACAAGTTTGTTTCTAAAACGTCTTGAAAGTAAGAAAATAATAATATAATTTCTACGCTATTAAAAATACTATTACTAATGGCAATAAGGTATGTAAAAGTTAATTTTGTCAGAATTCTCAATAGTACATTATGTACAGTTTAATTATATTTATTGATTAAAGAAATGTTAATTATTGGAAATGTGATAAAAAATGAAAAAATATATCTGGCACGTTTCGTTTATTTAATTACCGATTGACAGGTCAAATAATCAAGACTGATTAAAAAGAAAAAAATAATCCTATTAATTTAGATTTATGTTTATTTTTGAAGGCTGGCAGTTGTATATTTAAATTGATGATATTTGTTAAAATAAAATTGTGAAATGTAGGGTAAAGAGATCTGTTTAAGTATCTTTTTTTTTATACTGCTATGTTTATTATTAATTTAATTCTATTTTTATTATTATTGAATATTAAGAACAAGTTCCTTGGTGTATTTATAGTTTCTCTGAAATATGAAAAACTTATACACATAAAAGTATTTACAAAACGAAGATTATTCTTTACTAATTTAATACACTTTTACAACATGTTCTCTTAATTAAAAAATTACACATAGTTGTCCTCGCTATTACGTATGTATATGTGTATACATATACATAGTAAATATATATGTATATGTATATTTTTTTAACGTTAAAAGTGCTTGTAAAAATAATGTTCAATACTTTCGACTCCTTTGATGTTTTATCACACTTATCTGAACCTGCTAAATTATAAATATGATAAACATATTATCAATTAATAAGATTGAATGAAAGATAGCATAACAAAATTGTAATCGAGAGTAAAGACGTTTCTTTCAATTACGTTCCTATTTTTCTTTACTTACTTCATTCCCGCTGACATTGATGCCTCAACACTTCATTCCATAAATCCACGTTCACACCACGCGCCTACTGCGATATACTTAAGCGAATTGAGATATTTTCTAATAAATCTTTGCCGTCTCAAAGCGAGACACACGCGATTTATAAATGTATAAAAATCACATGGAAATAAATTTCTCATGTATGAAGAGGAATGGCAAATGTAAATGTAAAATTCATCAGGAAGTCCTTAGCAACGGAACTGTTCATGAATTTTTAAATATATTTACACGATGCATTCAATTTGGTTAGAAATTTCTTAAATTTTGACCACTCTTATGTCTTAATTAATAATCCCTGAACTAGTAACATTAAGCTTTCCTATGAACACTTATACAGCGTTCAAGGAGAAAACTAGTTCTGTAACAATTGTAAATAGATTCACAGTCACAGCAAAACTTCAATACATTCTTATGAACAATTTCTAAATAGTCACTTTAGTAGAAACGTTGTTGTTGCACATAATTTCCGTATTGCTGTTGCGGCGGTTGTTGAGAGTAATTCGAAGAATGATTGGTGGGTAGTCCACCATAGGGTGACCCACCATAATTTTGCTGATTCGGGTATTGATTTGATGCCATGGACGGTCCACTATACTGACCCTGATTGCCTATAGCGCCATATCCTTGGTAATTATAACCATTATCCACGTAATTCTGATTACCGCTATAAACTTGTTGATGTGGATAATTTTGGAATTGCTGGTTGGACATGCTGGGATAACTAAGAGGGGGTGCTTGTGGACGGGTGCAAGTTTGTTGAGTATTTTGAACATATCCTTGATTATAAAAGTTTGACAAAGGAGCTGTAGAAGTATTGGGAATTTGATCCAACGGTTTCGATGTATTTTGTTCAGCATTTTCATTTCCAAGTGACAAGTGCGATTTTGGCACATATTTATTTGGAAGATCTCCCATTATATGAGCGATTAAACGTTTCGTTTCATTTAGTATTGCATTTGGATCGTTAGTTTTCGTTAATTCCTTTGGCCTGACCGGAGAACGTGATCTTGAACGTGAACGAGATCGTGTCCAGGATTTTGGCGAATTCGATACCGACTTCGAAAATCCTCGCGATTTCTTCTTTGCCTTTTCATTTTCGCTAACATTTTTATCCGCTGCCTTATAAATATCTTCAAATGTGTAATCATCGTCATCATCTGACAAATCTAACTTCGCTTTCTGTTTATCTTCGTTATCATTCTTTGTTTGCTGTTCTTCCTCGTCATCATTTGCAAACATGTCTATTTTAGGTTTCCATTTATCTTCCTCTTCAACGGGATTTTGATTTCCTTTGCGCACAGAGAACGGCGAAATACTTCTGTTGGATTTAATATTCGTTTCTATATTCTCTGGCGTTGGGGACTTTATTTTTGGCATGGAAGATACTATGGACGTTGAACCCAAGTTAACAAACGCCCTTAATTTTTCTACTCGAACTGGATCTGTGACTTCTAATTTTTTTAAGAAATTAATCAGTCCGTGTTGTTCCTGAGAGGATAAATCTTTAAAATTTTGTAACAGTGCTTTTAAATCTGCGTCCGATAAACTTTCCATTTTAGAAGTTTGATGATCAATCGTATCCGCTGTTGTCAAGGTCGCAGGTGCAGATGTAGTCTGAGGAAGAGAAGTATTACCTCTTGCCAACCCTTTAACAAAATCAGCCGTAGTCACTGGTTTATCAGAATTTTTGGACGCTTCAGCCATTCCGACAACAGCGTTAATAAGAGTTTCTAATTCCTCTTGCGATACATTTGATCTACCTTGAGCTACTAAAGCAGCTGCTATTTGTTGGGCTATAGCTACTTTATCGACGGTACCAACGCCAGGTACGCTAACTGGTTCGGATTTGATTGTAGGTGTAATTACCTCTACCGGCCTTGTATAGACTGTTCTTTGAATATAATTTGCCGATTTCGCGGTCTCCATTTCTCTCTTTTTCTTTTTTTCTTCTTCCATTTTCTTCTTACTTTCTGTCGCTTTATGCAACAACTGAGCAATATTTTGAATTGCTGTCTTCGTTGGTGTTATAGCCATCTTTTCTATCATTCCAGCAAATAATTGACCTTTAAGTTTTTCTTTAACCGTTTCAAAAAGCACACTCACCTCTTCGTCGTAAAGTAATTCCTCGGCAGAGTTTGGTTTAGCCTTCTCTGCTGCCAATGCTTTCGAAAGAAGAGACACTATCTTGGGCCCAAGAGAGCCCAATTGACCTTCCAGTGCCGTGAGTAATCTCAACAAGCCAACTACTTCTAAATCTTCAGTTAATATATCATCTGGTATAGGGCTTGGAGATTTTTCTTTCACCGGATATGGTGTCGCGTAATGTATTGATCTCGGACGTGTAACACCACGAGGATAGTAACTACTTCTATACGTATTTCCCCTACCACGCACATATGACGAGTACGCATAATCACGATCTCTAAGGTCATGATGATCATAATAATCTGTTTTAACAGTTTTTGTACCGACATACTCTACTTCGTCATCGCTCTCTATGCGATGACGACTCCTTTTAGGCGGAGATCTATCACGTCTATTCGATGGTATCCACTTTTCTGGCGGCTTGTCTTCCGGCAATTCTAATCGTTTTCTGATTTCTTCTTTTCGTTGCTGCAATTGTTCATTGTGAATCTCACGCATTCGTTTGTTCCAGAACTCTATCCATTCTGGCTTGAAGTCATGTTTACTAGGGTCTTTCCCTTCCGCTTGTAATTCTTTATATCGCCTGTTCCAGAATTTTTTCCACTCGTCAGGATAAGACGGATGTTTCTCTGGATTCTTTTCGTGAAATTTCAATGCACGATCAAGCGTCTCTTCGGCGCGTCGAATTTGGTCACGATACTTATCCCATTTATCTCGTTCTCTCAGTGGCTCCGGTGAACGTGAACGCGACCGTGAACGTGTACGAGAACGCGTTCGATCCCGCGAATAACGCGATTTGGTACGATACCTGCCACCTTTATCCATTGAACTAGTTTTGCGATTACGAATGGGAGACCGTGATCGTGAACGCGATGGCGAAGGGCTACTTGATATGCTTGACAGTGACGAAAGAGACTTTGTCTCGTCAGAGGGACGCTTAGGAGACTTTCTTACATTCTCTTCTTCCTTATCTAACGGCTTACGGATACTTAATTTATCCCTTGTGAAAATGCGAATCTTGAATCCCCTAAAAAATATGAAATATTTATTTGACATATGAAATCGAGGCTGGCTAAGATACCAACGTTATTTCATCATACTGAAATTATAATTCAAACGAACAAAGATTAACCAAATTTTGAACAGGAAAAAGTCCTTTAAAAATGTTACATTATCAAAACGTTCACTTACGATTTTGTAGTATCTGATTTAGAATCTGTTTTCTTTGGTGGTGACTTTTCGTGTTTCTTGTCTTCACTCTTATGTTTATCATCCAGCTTCTCATCAGCAGGTTGAGAATCTTAATATAAGATGATAATTAATGCAGTTGAACGTTTGAGATGTGAACAGTTTGTCTCAACAATATAAATTTTTATACACTCACCTTTCTTCGGACCACTATTACCAGCCACTTCAGCCATCTTCTCTTCGAAATTCGTTACCCATCGCACATCGTAAACATCCATAAATGTTAATTCTGGCGTTTCCCTGCATGTAGGAAACAGCCATTGATTTTAAGGAAACGTAAAATTAAATAACGAAAACAACTGACGCGCACCTTCTCTAATCACATATCCATTGACTTTTGTAAAACATATGAATTGAAACGTTCAATTCATACAACGATCAAGCGTATATGATTTAATTTAATAATAACATATTACAACTTACCTAAAGTGATAATCCTGGTAGACTCTCTTGATGTATTGCATCTTATTTTTTTCAAATTGATTCTTATCAACCAACTGTGGTTGTAATCTTCCGAATCGTTCTTCAATCTTCTTAGCCACTAACACCGATATTTCGTTAGCTCCACGTTTATAATTAGGAGTACGCGGTAGTTCCGTAATAGCACGCGAAATTGTAGGGAAATGTCTATTTAGATATGTTATTCTATGATTATAACTGGTAATATGAGCCATAACAGTACGAGGGTCACCCCTTTTATCGCATAAAACACATGTATAACTGGGTTCGCAAGAATCATTATCAACCAGTTCAAGTAGGTATTCAAGGCCGACAAGGGGAGAACTTCTGTGGCGATCCAAACTCATCTGAATTGTTGTTGTTCTGGTTATTTGATCTTCCATACCAGGTGGTACTGGTTCTCCAGGTGCCAAACCATCGCCTATAGCAGCTGATTGTGCTGGTGGAACTGTTTTTACAATATCCGATCGTTTGGACCATAACAAAACTGGATATGGCCATTCATCTAATTTCATCTTATGACGATTACACATGTTATGATTCAGTAACTTGTGAGCTCCGAACAGAGCTATGTTACATATATGACACCATATATCACCATCTTCGGTTTCAGAATACACGGGTCTGAGCGTGCCATCTTCAGCAGTGACACTGCTCCTCATTAAACGTTTTCGATCGTATTCTTCCTGTGAAATATAAATACTTTGTCAAGTGTATAACTAACTGTTGTTCTAATAATATGTTACAGAATATAAAAGTATATTCATAATCGATACATTAGATTAGATTTTATCAACTGGGTACTGGTGTTCTTTATAAAAAATACCAAAAGTTATTTATTTGAGTAATAGATCAAAATTCAGTTTCTAATATTATATGAGTAATGGTAAAGTGATAATTTTGATAAAAATAGTATTTTTTTCTAATTGAATTTAACAAATATGTTTAAAATTCTAATTTATAAGTTCCTGAAAATATTAACTATAAATAAAAGATTTTTATATGCATCTTTCAATATGCTTTACCTTCTCCTTGCCTGCCTCTGATAAGTGAGAAGGATTACGACCTTCTATATCAAGATCATCAAAATTCTGCATAATTGATCCACGTTTGTGAAAAATTCTCACAGTGTTTTCTGAAAATATAAAATTGTTGTAAGTTTTAAGGAAAAAACAATGCAGCATCAGGGTCGGCAAAGGTATATAAATTATTGAATCTAAAAATACAAGGAAAGTAACAATATATATTATTCTGTTGACGACTTATGTAAATGACTTAAATATAACTATGAACTTTACGAGATTATTACTTAGACATCAAAAATAGATATTAATTTATAAGCCAACCCTGCAGCAGCAATCGTAAATATGATTGTTTCAAACCTGATAAAATCTACTATAATAAAGCTACAAATTTTATTAATGTATACTTACCAGTAATACATGCTATTATATTTAAACAATTTATATACACATGTAACAATGCCTAAATCTAATGTTCCTATTAAAATATTTTAACTTCTTATTAAATTAAAGCATAAATGGATTTTTAAATGATAACAGTCGAATATTTATAATGTACGTTATAAAATATTCTTGAAGAGATATTATCGCCAACATATGAAAAATAGATTCTTTAACAACTGTCTGAATAAGTTTTTATAATATGTTCAATAAAATAAATCAATTCTTATATAAATACTTACACGTTCAGGACATTCTAGAGGTATATATTAAGTTATGAAATAAACATATCCTAAGATCATTAAATGATGATTAATCTTACTTCTTTCATTCAATGATTTCTTATAATTATTATTTATAGATTTGCTGGAGTATAACAATCAATCTCCAGCTACTTACCGATAGAAAGGAAACTTCGTATATCCAATAACGTTTCCAGGATGCACAAGTACCACAAAACATTAAACGCAGTGCACCATATAGAGACACTAATATCACGCAAAGTTAAGAATTAGAATAACTTTGCAATTTATATTTAAACGAGAAAAAATATAGCCGTTTACATAGAAAAAAAATAATGTTTTACTTTGATCTAATATACCTAATATAGGTACTGTACTACACTTTGACGCAGGAGAATGAATAAGACATATAAATGATGTGTGTCTGTTTATTAAGCGGTGCTTACTTAAATAAATTATATTACGAATAACAGAAGAACAAGAAAATCATAATGGCATTTACGTATGAGCCTGTAATACGCGAAACCAAAAGGTTATATACGATTGATTAAAATCCGCAGAAATCGAACAATATAAACAGTATAAACTGCCTTCACACGCACCGTCAATTTTTAACAACCAAGTGATCCCAGCCAAATGGCCATCATTTGGTTTTAAATTAATCTTTCCAGTCTTATAAATATCTGCGTAATCTTTCCGCCTTGTTGGACTTAAATCGTAATCTTCGAAAATAGAAAATAGAAAAACAGGCCTAACTTACCAAATTACCAGTTTGCGTTGGTCACACTCGGCAATCTCCGCGGTGAAAATTTCTAATTTCTTAATTTTGTTTTCAATAAAATCTTTCGGTAGCCATATCGAAAGAGAAATATTCAACAACTAGAGATCTGCGCATGACTGACCTGCATGGTTATAGTCGGTAATTCGTTTGTTGCAGGAAACATTTTTATCAACTTGTCTTATTTTTGGAATGCTCGCAATTATATCACCGAGGAGATGTAGAATAGACTGGATAAGCAATGTAAATTTTTATCTCACGGCCGGGGATTAAGTGACTCCTTACCATTCCTATGTCGCTTGCAACGTTACCAACAGAGTACAGGTAAATTCAAATAAATAAATAAAAACGTAATCTTTTTTATTTTCTTACTTTTATTTTATTACATTTTTCTATATACACATACTTTCTTATAGACATTTATCAGAATATTAAACATAATTCATAATTTCAAAGTAAGTACATATAATACAATATGAATACTGAATTTTTATTGAAAATGTACATAATTTACTTGCATAATATAATCGGTGAAGTTCTTATCGTTTTCCGAACAATTAATGTTTATATCTGGAAAAAATTGTTGTTCCATTGAAATTTTGAAAACTATTTTCCATGAAATTTTTAATCATTAATCTGCAAGGTGCATACTTCGTAAAGTGAACATACCATTTAACAATTCTCCTCATCTTTGAGCACGAAAAGTTAGTGATTTTCCGTTTATTTTAATTATACACCGGAATAATAAACATACTAAAAAATACACAAGTTACATAAATAACTCTTTCCTTCATCCACAAAAAACGTGAGTATCGTTTACCTGCTGATGGTTTCATATTTCACATTTAAATTACAAAATTAACACATCAATTAGCCTACTATGATTCTTTTAGAGAAAATATTGTAATAAGAATAACAGTAGTTGCCCAGGCCTCACCACGTGGAGGTTACTAGAGTGGAGACCCGAGGAGGTAGTTGTATTTCATTAACCTCCCCCCTAAACCCATGGATTAATATTACCGCAATTGAGACTAATCCCTCGGTGGATGTTTTCTTCCTTGAGTCTAAACCAAAGTGAAAAAAAGTAATATTCGAATGAATTATACAAAAGAATTATATGAAAGAATTATAAGAAAAAAAGTATCTCTCAGCGGATGATTCCATGTCTTCCTCCTTAAATCTGAAACTATCCACATAAAGAAACATACAAGTATAAGCAGTAACATAAGAAACAAGAATGAGATTGAATTATAACATAGCATTACAAGATATAATTACAACGAAGAATTATAAGGAAAAAATGATTAGAAATAAGGAATCCCACGGTGGATGATCGATGACTTCTTGCTTGAAACTAAAACTAACACATTAAATCGCAAATTAAATCTAATTTTAAACATGGATCTGTACATTGTGAATGCAAGTCAGGAGAGACAGATGAAGATCCATTTCATTAAATCTCCCTTCCTTAACCTAACGAATCTTAATATTAACGCACTTAACCCTGTGAGTGTTAAGGAACGATGTATCACTTCTTCATGCACTTGCGAAAAGTTTCTTTTTGATTCTATTAGTAATAAAGGAAGTGTAACATATTTTTAGTATCGTGCAGAAATTGTACGAACATTAGATCAAAATTGACCGAAAGATAAATGTTTATTTATAATTATGCATCACTGTTTAAAATTGTCTGGTATTTCTCGAATATGTATGCAAATTTCCCCTGGCAATTAAACGAGTTATCTAACTTAATAAAAATTCATATAAATCCAGTTCCATAATCATCGCAGATGAATAACATAATCATTACATTCATCACACAATCAGTTTCTAATTTCTCGAAACCTAAAAGCATTTTTCTCAATGACTATCGAAATCCTCCATTTTTAACACCACCCGTTCCATTTTGCTTCTAATCATAACTCTATTATATTTTGTTGACGTAAACACCTTCACGTTTCTCGTACACGGTTAACAAAATAATTGTTTTCTTCAAAACAATCATACCTTATATAAACGACACATCTCTCTTCCTTTTTACTTATAGCTCCGGTTTATAAACGAACAGTCGAGCTACTAAACTAAATAAAAAACCTGAAAACATTGGAACCTTTGCGTCAACCCAACATTTCGCTTATAATTGAAACATCTTGACTGTACTCACTGAGTATGTTCGCGAGTGCATGTAAGAGGAGGCTTGCAATCAAATCATCAGCAATAGCGGTAAATATCTGGCAGAAGTAACTGTAGCAGTAGGGGCCCAACATGTGCCGGGCCCGCGTTGCTGCTTCATGATCAGTCGGTCATCGTCTTTCGCTCGTGTGTTCAGGATCCGTGAGAACAACCGCGGATGCGCGTACCTCGGTGCCGATCGACACGTTCCGAACATGATCTTGCGGCGCATTACGAACACCCTCCTGCAATTCGTCGCGCTAGCGACCGTCGTTCATTCAATGGAATCTCGGTGGAGTGTTTTATCGTGGATGTCGAGTAACGTTTGCGCTCTGATTATCTTCCCGGCGAGCACGCAGCAATGGTCCTTGTTGGGTTTGAATCTGTGGTCGAGCCAGACCGTGGAGAAACCTCACGACAGATTCGACCTAAACAAAAATCCTATCTCGAGGGGTAAGTTCCACGGACACCGTTGCTGAGTGCCATTTCGTGTCTCTTTCGTCCTACCAGCGTTTTCGAGAACTGTAACGCGGAAGACTGGTCTCTGTTTATTTTAGAATTTCGACCCTTTTCAGTCTGACGTGCGGCACATGCTAGTTACCGGTACGTGTTCTTGTTGAGTTCCTACGACCTTTACTACAATTTCTCTTACTTTCCGACCCCAACCCGTCCGCACGTTTCCAGTTGCAATCTTTGACGCACTGCTTCCCTTTGTTGTGTATACTCGTTGAATGAGATTTACAATGTTTGTTAATGCTAGAGTTGTGTCAATTTGACGGATATTAAGTTTTTTCAAGATTGTTCGGTGAAGGTTTAAGTCAATTTTGATTGATGACGTTACGTGAATAGGTATTGTAATACATTAGTTTGTTTTTGAAGCCCTAATTTTTAATATCTATATGAATGAACAGATATTCTTTTAGGAACAGTACAATGAAGTATACAATAAATGTTTGTAAATTTAACGTTAACAATTGTTGGTACTATTGTTTAATAGATTTTTATTGTGATTCTGTTTTACTTGAAAGTATTAATGGATATTTAGGGGTATAATTAAAACGGAAGTGATGTGTGATCAGGATATACATAATATATATTCTTATGTGAATAAACGTGGTACTAGACTTGTAACATGGACATTTGTGTATAATGCTGAGTAAAATTATTATGAATATTAATCTAACATAATCTCTTCTCATACACAGCGCATAATTCAAATATTTATTTACGTTTCAAAATTATAAAATGAAGTACAAGTTAACTTATAATCATTAATATTCTTATTTCAGATTAGATTCAAGTATCGTAAATCAGTATAAACAATGGTTCAGTAACAGTACGATATTCCTCGTTCTAATTTTTCAAAAATTGTTCAAAATGTGTACAAGTGTAGGCTTACCGAAATTTTTACTTATATTTTCTAAAATAATAATTCTTTTAACGCTAGGATAAATGATAAATAATTAAAATTTTGAAATTACTCATATCGAAAAGAATTGGCAAATCCTGATTTAAGAAAGAATGAGTGTGCAACAAATGCATGCACTTTAAATATAATTTTTATTGTTACTATACTTCAACTATTGTTTCTCAAAGTTTCGTTATTTTTTGTGGAAGGTATTTCTAACTGGATCAATACGTTTCAAGATGTTTGTCAGTGCAAAACATTTCCATAATTTTCCCGTGAAACCCTCATAATTTACGATTCAATGATTCCTTTAATTGCTTATTCATTAGCCGCGTTCATTAATCTGAATAGAATACGATTTTATCACATGGAGTGTTAAGGGACATACTCCATGTGGAGCAGAAGATTCATGTAATGTTAATTAGAATATTCATGAATTACAAAAGCGCCGCAGGCAGACTTCTCACTCGCATTGAAACTTCACGAACTGTGTTAAATTGAAATTATACTCGACCGGGTCCCTTCTGTTTCGAGTAAACAGAAATACGAAAACGTTTGGAATCTTTAACATCGACTGGCCAATGCACGAGTTTCTCTGGGTCGAGCTATAGCTGGCTAGGGAATAAATTGACAACCTGCTGTTCACTGTCTGAGGACGTTAAAAATTATTATACTGACAAAATTATTTTTAAAAACAAGAAAAAAATATACAATAATATTAAACATTACACAAGTAATAACGTTTGTTGCAGCTATAAATACTTACATATATTCTGAGGGCTGGATTTTTAATAAAATATAAAATCTATCATCTATTGGCAGAAAATTTTATCAATTAAATTGTAAGGTTTCTCTGATTAAAACGAGACCAGACACGATATATTTTGGAACATATTATTTAACAATAGAACTACTGAATATTTAATATGATTGATACATGATCTCTATAAAAATTGTAACAATAAATTATTTTCAGTTTCTTCAGATACTCATTATAGTATTTAAATGAAACTATTTATTTTCAGAATTAAGTGCGAAACAAGGAAACCGAGACCAGTCGTTTTAACTGGTACGTTAGTTAATGAATTACAATAATTTATTTTCTTCTAGTAAATTGTGACTTAAAGTATGTCATGTTTGGTTTTGTTTTAATCAGAGGAATCTCACAAATGCGTTAGTAAAAGTTTCATTTAAACACAAACCCTTATAAGAAAGTTTTATCATTGCGTTAATATTGTCTCACCGATATACCACCGCTGAACAACGTATTGTGTTACAACTGCTCGGCCGTCGAGCTTCGCGGCTTGTCGAGAGGACTCGCTCCTCAGTGGCGAAGATGACTGCCGAACATTAATCCCGCAGATCGTGCCTGGTACCAACCACAAGAATACTGTATATCGGTTTCGGTTCCGGTTCTTCATTGAAATATTTATGAAAAATAACAGTTATAGAACAATTTCAGAACTGATATAACATCGAAAACGAACCGAAACCGATATAGCTCAGAACCGATATACCGAATAACAATTATGACCTATTTCGGTTCTTCATAACTGCTTCAGTCGGAACAGATATATAACAGTTTCAAACAGGAACCATTTCAATTCTTAGTTTTACCAAAACTCTCGGTTTTTGAAACAATTATGAAGAATCAAAATGTAGAATCGTGATGAAGAATCGAAAAATAATACTAGAACCGTTTCAGAACCGATATAATATCGAAGGAGAGCCAAAACTGATATACCGAATAACAATCATGACGTATTTCGGTTCTTCATAACCGTTTTAGTCAGAACCGATATATGAGCTACTCATTAGCCAACTCCGTTAACTCCATAAACCAAAAATCAGAAAAAAATTATGTAGTAATGCACATTGATTTTCCAAATTTCTTTTCAAGCGGAAAATCAAGTAAATATTATAGAATGTATTTCGTTCTATTATTACAGATGTAGTTTAAATCTAACAAATATGTAAAATGTATAAACTACTAAGTTCAAGAAGTAATATTTATTACTAGTGCAATTTGTGCATGACCAAAAGAACGTTTACTATTTCGTGGCACCAAACCAAATAATAAAGCGATTTATTTTAAATATAAAAGATTCAGAGTCGATCAATCGTATCGACAATAAAATCTGAAGAAATCCAAAAAGTGGAGTTAACCGATTTGGCCAATGAGCGGTTCGTATAACAGTTTCAAACAGTTCTTTTCGAAACCTTTTCAATCCCTGGCTGCAACGGGCGGTACTCGTCCCAGCTTCTTCGCGGTCTCATTTGCAACCCTTTGCAGTTCTGAATTTCTTCCCCATCCCCGTGGAGGAGGAGTGCCTATCGCAGGACAAACGACGCCGAGGAGTATGCATGAACACGTATGAGTGCCGTATTCAACGAGGCAAGTCTCATGGACCGTGCGCGCTCGGTTTCGGCGTGTGTTGCATATGTAAGTACCCACGGAATACTTATTCTCAATTCATTCGATGTGTGAACGTTTCATAGATTCCGCGCCGGGGATTTCCCGTCGGGAAATGAACGATCGGTGCGTGCACGTGGTTTCTCAAAATTCCCGAAGATTCCCGTACGCCATTGATCGGCGGTTTTTCTCGCGTATTGAATAGTGCCCCGGATCATTTTACGGCGAACGAAACGGGAAGAAACGTGTACAGAAGATTTATGAGCAGGTATAAAACGATTTAATAAACGCGAACGCGTGATTAACACGTGCGCGGCTGCTGACGCTGTGTTGTGTCTGCTTGATAAGCTGTAGGCAGATGCTCTTGACGTAGTGTTATGTATCATTTCACGATCAGCGGTTAAATGCCAATGACATGCTATTACGGTTTTGTATGTTTTCGCTTTAAATTGATATTCTCTAGGTTTAACTTCTTGCTCTATGGTTCATTTGTTAACTATGATTAATACAACTACTTTATCATTAATAATTTATTAAGGAAAGGAAGAGTTTTGATGCTTGTTCTGTGTTTATGTTTACTACAAAGGTTAACGATTGATAAAAGAAAAGTAATATTTCATTTTTATTTAAGAAAAATAAATAACACTTAGATTTCTACAATTCAGTTTAAAATCTTTATTACGAGTCTGATACGATATTGTGGGTCAAGGGGTTAATAGATTCACGTGATGTTTCTATATGTTTAATCATAGATTGTAATTATAACAATATTTGCGAAAATGATGTTAGAGTGCATTCTTTTGTTTCGTGTCTATGTTTCTGATTTCAGTTGTTAGATTTGGGTGAATGTTAGTAAATAATTTGAGAAATAATTTACTTATTAATGTTGATTTATTATTGTTCTTTATTTATGATGTATTATTATTTATTTTAATATATAATATATTAATTCTGTCTGGATTTGCAATAGAAAATCATTTAATAAATTCAAATGATATGCAGTTATACATATGATAGTTGTAATATTTGATTTTATAACGTTTATTGTACAGGTAAAATGTTATTTACGTATAGATTTAAATTTACTGAATATAGATTTAAAATTTGGAATTGTAAATAATGTCTTTTTACGTGACATTTAATTTTCATGCCTTTCTTTGATAGTTGGAAATGATTTTTTATATTAGTAATGGAAAAGACTTCTTTGACAGCTAATAAACATGGAATTAAGTATGATATAAGAATTTAGCAATTATACAACTTTTAAAAGAATTGTTTCATTCAGCCATATTTAGGTCTTTGTTAAAGACAATGACGTTTAAAGCATTAAAGAAATATTGCTTATAATTATATTGTAAACATACAGTGAAGTTATATTATTATAAAATGATTATTAATATTTGAAAATCGCTTTTATTATAATTACTGGCTTACCTAATATTTATTGCATTCGTGTTGACTCGCTTGAACAAGTATTTTGCTTGATATTTTGCAAAGGTTATAAATATCGCACAGTGATAATGCATTGTGCTGCGTTAACTGATAAAGCGTTTACGTCATTCAATAATTATGTAACAAAAATTCCTTTTTGTACAGAAATCGAACGAAAATCTGCATTGTTCGTCGCAGCTACTTCAATGTAGGTACATCATGTATCGGCAATCGCAAATTGCAAAGCTTTCTGTATGCAGGCACGTGCACGTTGCATTCTCATTTCGCGCGAACATTTTGCGGATATCGTGTTTGAAACTTCGCTACGTGATGTACACTACCATTAATATCGGTAGAGCGAACTCGCATAAAGATTTTACACATGCCCGATATAAACTTTTATCATGCTACATGCATCTGAATGAAAATAAAGGTGTTCGAAATACAATAGAATAAATTAATCAATTGCTAATTTAGTTATGATTTTCTGGAAATTGACAAATATTTAAGAGAAACTGTATACTGTTAGTTCTTAATATTTGTACTTTTATTTTTAGTGAGAGAAACTTATTGTAACTTTACTAAGAGAATGTGTGAATTAGATTGTAGATTTTTGTGGATTTATGAAAAATATGGAAATGTACAGAGCCCACACGATACGAAAAGATATATAAAATATCTAAAGTGTAATTTGTAATATGCATTAGAAAAAAAATTGCCATTGTAATCATATTTTTCGAATTATTTTCTTAAACGTTTGAATTTGCATGAGAATCATGTAGTTTGATGATAACAGCTAGTTTAAGAATGTTTATACCATTTATTTAGTTTACAATAATTTTTTCTCTTTGAAACTTTGGAAAATGATTTTTGGTTGGTACATTTTTATTTATTAATTTAATGATTACATGTCAATTATTTTTAACTATTTTATTTAAGTGTCATGCCAGCTGCATATCTTGTTATGTTACGCATTCACTGCTATGATGATGTATTGAGAAAATTAAATTTCATTAGGATTTGCAGGAGATAAGCAGGTCGAAAGAGCGATCCTTTGATGGTAACTTTTCACTTTCTGCTGTGCTGAATAAATTACTTTGATTTCGTGGAATATTTATGGATGTCGATTCGGTAGTCGACGTATTAATATTCATTCTGCGTAACTGGTCAATAAATTATAGAATTTCTATTAAGTGTATCTGCTTCTGTATCTATTTCCGATCAGATACTGCTGCCATTAACGATAGAGAGTAACATTTATAGTGTGCATAATATCACGAATGTTTATACAATTTTCTACAATTTATTTCATAAAATAGAAACAAAAAGGCAGAAGTTATATTAACAAAAATAATTTTAATTCAGTCTTCAGTAACACTGTAAAATCCTTTAGACATAAAACCAATCTATAATAATATTCAATTACAACTGCTTCCAGCAATTCACAATCGTTAATCAAAATACTAATTAAAGTATCTTTACAATATTTTAGAAAACAAACTTGCATTTAAACAGTTACAAAATCGTAAATTCATATCTCCCTTTCTTATCGAGTTAAACAAAATCCTGATAAAGAAGCTAGAAAAAAATTCTCCCAAACACAATATTTCACAATTCCGTGCCAACCAACTCAACCATACCTTAAATGCCGCACGATTTTGCCGAGAAAAATATACAAAATGTAAATAATGGAATATCAAATTATGTAATTGAATTGCGTTATTATTATTGCAAGTTTATCTTGTTGAATGTCATTACATTAGGTAATGTTACTTGTAATATAGAAAAGTTTTCGGATAATTATCGTTTAATCGAATGAATTATGGTAATTCGATTTGATTGAGGTCACCGGTGACCCCCACGATATCCAACGTGTGAAAAAACTCCACATCAACACCATTTGTCAACTGAAATATTTCCTTAATTGACTACGCCGAAAGAACGTCGTGCAATGAGGAAATCAATTTTTTCACCGTCTGAGATCAGTTAAATCATTTGAGATCTCTATTCGAACACCTGTCTGGAATTACCGGCTTCCTTAATTAGTTAAACGCATTAAAGGAGGACGATAGCGACTTATCGGTGTCGGCCCCTTCGGATTGTCCGACGTCATTCGATTTTACCATTTGGTCGACAGATCGGTTAGACGCGCGTCGATTTTGGTTAACGGTATTGCGATAAACATGCACCGAAAAGAACGATTCGATGGAACGCGTTCTCCTTGAACGCGGAAAAGAGTGTGGGGAACAGGAGGAATGAGATGAACGCTTGATACAGACTGACGCGCCGAGGGAGAATGTGCGGCACAAGTTATACAGTTACTTAATTTCTCGGCATCTCGCTTGTCCCAGATGTAAGATCGTCTTCACGTTTCGTCGACCTTTTTGCCAATGCCTTTTTCCGAGATCGCGTTCCAAGGCCACGAGTACGATCGTTAGATCTAGACTTCCGGTTGGCCAAGCTTCAGTGTACTGCTAGGAGATCGGTAGGTTATGGCTAGGCTCAGGAATGCGAGGCTGATTGATCGGTTCACATCTTTTTCCACTCAATTTTTTGGATGTTTGTGTATTATACGGGTTCTCCTTGTTTTTGACACTATTCTTACCGAAGCTGTTGAGAGACACTTTCTGAAATTTTAACTTAAAATTATTTTCTCGGTTTAATCATTTTTCCTCAATTGAATTTTGGACATTTGCTATAATTAACCCCTTGCTTTATGATAACATTTCAGATTCTTGATGAAAATTATAAATTGAATTCGACAAGTCTAAATGTCATTTGTTTATTTTTAATATAAATTAAATATTACCTGTCTATTATCAATTTGGAAAATTTGTAGTAAACGTAGACACAAAATAAGTATGAAATTCTTTTCTTTTTTTAGTAAATTATTAACGACTTTATCCAGTGCAGTTGAGAAACAAATCATAAGGCAAAGAGTTGAGTTTATAATCGTTACTGGAAAAGTCGGAAAGTCAATTCAGAATATACGACTAAACTCAGGAAATAAGTGTCAGTTAAAGTTTCGAAACGTGTCTTTTCACACCGTCGGTAGAAATAGTACTAAGAAATAAAATATTAATAATAATAGTAATAACGATGACAATAATAATGTTCGATCGTTGATCAGTTCATAGTAAAAGTACCAGTTGTATTTGATAATAATGATAATAAAAGTATTAGTTGAAAAGAAGGAAACGTTAGAGTGTCAATTAGAAGAATATAGTCAAACGATAAGGGGACAACATTGTACCAGAAATTTTAAGAAGCGTAGAGTTGAAGACAAAATGGATAATAGCTTTTTCATTAATTGTAATTGAACTCGTTCACTGACTTAGTTAAAAACTTTGATAAAAACAAGAAAAATATTTGATGAATTACAAATAACCTCAGTTCAAGACTTATTAAATAACAAAAGAAAAAAATGAACAAAATAAAAGGCAATGCGTTGCTAAGTGAACAATGGGAGATCCCCTATTCAGTTGACTGAGTGTTAAGAAAAGCAACGAAACAAGAAGATAATGCAAAAAGTGAATAAACGAAATTATACAACAATTTTAGACGAACAGTTTATACAGTTAATAAAGTTTAGAATTGTT